AAAAAAAAGAGAGAGATACCACCTCACATGTGTTAAAATGGCTATCAAAAAGACAAAAGGTCAAGGCCGGGTGTGGTGGCGCACGCCTGTAATCCCAGCACTCGGGAGGCTGAGGCAGGAGGATCGCTATGAGTTCGAGACCAGCCTGGGCTACATAGCGAGTTCCAGGTCAGTCTCAACTACATAGTGAGACCCTGTCTCAAAAAAACAAAAAAAGACAAAAGGTAATGAGTACTGGTGAGGATGTGGAGAAATAGGAACCCTTCTACCCTTTTGGTAAGAATATAAACTGGTACAGGACCATGGAAAACTATATGGTGGTTCCTCAAAAACATAAAGATAGCATTGTTTTACAATCTAGCAATCCACTTCTGGGTAGCTCTCCAAAGGAAATGAAATCAGTATCTCACACAGGTATCTGCACTCCTACATTCACTGTAGCATAATTCACAAATGCTGAAATATGGACTCATAAGGCCTTAAAAAAGAAAATTGTATCATTTGTGACAATATGGATGAAATGTTCTTATGATAGACATCTGCTAAGTGAAATAAGCCAGGCACAGAAAGACGAATGCATGATCTCATTAATAAATGCAATCTAAAAAAGCCAAACTCATAGAAGCAGAGAGAAGAGTGGTAGTTGCCAGGGTCTGGGCAGTGGGAAATGGGGACATGCTGACCAAAGGGACAAAGTTTCAGTTGGACAGAATGAGTAGATCTGGAGATCTGAGGTACAGTATGGTAACTATCATCTGAGGGTAGTTTTAAGGAGAGTGCAGCTTCCAGCTCAGATGTGATGCAGCAAAGGCCATGGAAAGAAGGCCGTGCATACCTTTTCCAGTTATGTAATAGGCCCCCAGTTTGTAGCAGCTATCACTGTGTTTGTTGTCTTCACAGTTGAACTTCAGCACCTTAGCAGCTTCATCGAAATTCTTCTGGATCCCTTCCAGATAGTCCACCAGCCGATAGCAACCTGTAAGCAGAAGGCAAAACTGTTCACACCTAGGGCTACTCCTCTGCTGTGTGAAGGGCTCAGGTACGACAAGTCAGACTGAGCCTTCTGCTTAGGACCAGCTCCAGTTCTCAAGTGTGGCAAGCTGCCCTCACCACAAAGAACACAGGTGGTCTCAGCCATTCCCACAAGTAATCTTGTCTCCCCTTATTCAGGGACTGAATAATGTACATTCTGGAGAGACCATGGCCCCCTCTCCTGGCTCTATCACCCACCAGCTCTTCTGCTCCCTGTAGGTCTGGCCCAAAGACCCACTGACTTCCATGACTGAAATGTTTGTAGCTTTGGAACCTCTCATGAAGTTCAGCAGTAAAAACATTAAAAAACCAAAAGAGCTCATAGGCTAACCTTGTCATGCAGAGATGACTGTATCTTACTCCTTGGCCAAGCAGGGAACTTAAAGCCCAAAGAGAAGTACAAATAGCAGCTACCAAAAGAGTTTGAAAACAGGCTTCCCTCCCCACTCCTTGACTATCTCAGTCTCAGCAGGCTTCCCTTCTTAACATCTTTCCTCTCTCTCCCTCCCCTTTCATCCCCAACAATAATTTCTCACTCATTTTCATTCAACAAATATTTGAACAACCATATATATCTATGTACCAGATACACAGATGCTGGGAATAATCACTTGCCCTCCTAAAATTTACATTATAGGGAAGGAAATATAAAAATTAAGTGAACAAGATGCATTCAATCAATAAATATTATGATTAAAATAAAGCAGGATGATGAGTTTGTTATACACAATGCAAGGAATGACTCACTAATACAGACAGGGCCATCAAGGAAGGTCTCACCAAGAACTGTGATAGCTGAGCTGAGATGAGAATAAGAAGAAAGCATTAGATGTGTAAAGGCAATGATAGGCTGAAAATGTAGCTCAGTGGAAGAGAAAAACGCAAGGCCAAGGGTTACCCCAGCACAGCAAAATACATGTAAAGACAATAAAATGGCAAGGTAGCAGAAAGTCCTGGCACAAAGAAACATACAAATATCTGAAGAAATAAGAATGAATAAAGTGTAATATGGCTGAGTGGGATAAAAAATGAGAGAGAGGCAAGGATCAGATCAAAGGGCCTTGCAGAGTATCAGAAAAGGTTTTGTGGATTTTTTGGTTTTGTTTTTCCAGTACTGGGGACTGAACTTAGGGCCTTGTGTATAATAGGCAAGCACTATACCACTGAGTTCCATCCCAGCCCTACAAAGGGTTTTACCTCAAGTGCAACAGTAAAACCACCACAGAGAGGGTTTTAAGAAAAGTGGGCCTGAGGATGTAGCTCAGGAGTAGAGCACTTGCCTAATATGTGTAAGGCCCTGGGTTCAATCCCCAGTACTGGGTGTGTGCGTGCGTGTGTGTGTGTGTAGATTAAATTTGCATTTTTTAAATGCTGGGCTATGTATGTCTGTGTATGACTGGATGAACAGGGAGACAGTTATGTGTATGAGGGTATACACTTGGGTAATGAGAATAGATTTTAAGGGCGAATACAACCAGACATCGAGATTAAGACTTTCAGAGAACTAATAATTCCGGAATTATAGTAACCACAGTCCCTTCTCAGGTCTCCTTCTAAATTGAAAAGAAAAAAGGTACATTTTAAGCCCTTAAAAAAATAAGATAAGGGGAAGAAAAATCCCTAAAGATTTTGGCTGCTCCGGCGGGCCGCCTCTGGACGCATCATCCACCCATACACTCCATCAGCTCAACGTCCACACTGCACAAGGGGCCCATTCTGCCGCAGCTCTACCTACCTCTGCTTACTAAAGTTTCGCGTGATTCACTCTCTCACCTTCTTCAAGGCTTTATTCAAATGCACTTTGATCACTTTACAAACGTGCTCCTGAACTCCCGATACCCTTCCGCTACTTCACTTATTTCCTATGCTTCCTGACCGACAACCTCACTAGAAGGTAAACTTACCGAGGTCAGGGAATTTCGTCCGCTCACTGATTAGCCCTATTCCCTCTACCCCAAACCCCCAACGCGTCGGTCCCTCCCCTTCCCGCGGCCCAGGCTCCCTTCGCGCCCCCGCAACTCTAAGGCACGAGACGCCCCTCCAGCCACACCAGGTCAGCAGCACCCTCGGTCCTCCACGCGACCCACTCCAGGTCCCCTCCGATCCCTAACAACCCCCCCACACGTCCCCACGAGTCCGCAGGCTTTGCGGGAGGCGCTCACCGTCCGGGTCCTTCTCTTGGTAGCACTGGTAGTTGCACTCCACCTCCATGTTCTCCAGAAAGGATTTCACCTGCTCCTCGTCCTGGAAGTCCACCAAGCCAGCCATGGCTCCGGCGGGCTCAACTCCACGTCACCCAGAGCGCCCCTGGTCACGTGACCCGTAAGGGGCGGAGCTTGGGGAAGCTGGCTGGACGGGCGTTGACGTCTGCGCTCTCCCTGCCCTGTGAGCCTGGGCTTCCCGTCAGCCCTCGCGCAGGTAAGGTTCTTGGTAAACGCTTTTTCTATGTGTACTCCATTCCCACAACTGGTGCAGGTCTTTGTGCAGTCAGTACCTTATTGGTGCCGGCTTTGTATCCTTAATGACGTTCTCCCTGCAGTCATTTATCCATTTATCCACGGATTCATCCATTAATTCTGTAAACCCTAAGCGCTATGTGTTTGGTTCTGGGGATCTGAGGAATATAGCTATAGTCCCTGCCTATAAAGAACTTGCAGTCATTGGTAAACATTTGTTCATTCGTCAAGCGTTCTGAGTGCCTTCTTTATACCAGGTGTAGTGGGGTAAGCCGATAATCGTTAAGTTTATAGAAGTGCAGTGGAAAGCCTAGTTCATTTCCATATTTCTTTCAGATCCATCAGTCACCCAGCGCGCCGCACGGTCACGTGACCACTGAATCACCACGGGTAATGATGACTGGAACGCAGCAGAAGTCGAGAATGTAGCAGTAACATTATGGTATTATTACAACAGCCTGTCCTTTAACAGTGCTAAACTTTTTTTTTTTCTTTAGTACCGGGTATTGAACTCAGGTCCTTGTGCTTGCAAGGCAGGCCACTGAACCACTGAGATAAATCCCCGGCCACGCTAAACTTTTGTTTTAGGCTGTAGTCTAAGAACTTCTACTAATTTCATTTAATTTTCACTATAACACTCATTATGACGATGTGGGTACTGTATCTACAGATGAGGAAACAGGTTTAGTTACTTGTGTACAGCACACAGTAAGGAACGAGTTGGTGTGCAGTGATATTTGTTGAATAAAAAAATGAAGCAGAAAAGGAATATACTGGGCTGGGGATTTAGCTCAGTGGTTCTGCTGCCTGCCTCGAAAGTGCAAGGTCCCAGGTTCAATCCCCGGTACAAAAAAAAAAAAAAAAAGAGGAATATGTTTATTATAGCTTCTTATGCTTAGAAGTATCAATTTCACAAAGCTGAAACAGAATGGTCTCCAAAGACAGCTCCTGTTCACTGGCCTGCCATTCAGCCCTAGTTTAGAACCCTGGGTAGAGCCCAATCCATGATTTCCCATCATCTATTTCAATGTTTCCCAAGGCTTCACTTCAGTCCTAAAGGCAGCAGAGAATAGACCACATCCATTCACCTCGTTATTTGGGAAGGATTTAACTGGGACATGTCTTTGAATTCTGCTTTACCCTATCCTTTGAGGCCTTGTAAAATCTGTTTCTGGCCTTATCTCCTGCCTCTTTTCCCACCACCCTCCCAATCTTTTGTTCTCTGAATAGGTTCCAGATTTGTGAGCCTGTTTACCAGTGTTCTTGATGCCTGAATCAAACTTCTCAGCCCAAATCAATAATCTTTTCCTCTATAAAGTCTTTCCAGATGCAGTAACCACATACACCCAAAATAGGCTCACTTCAGTGTTCCACATGATGTGTTTAATTGTACTATAATGTATTACGAAACAACTTTGAAAGGGAGACAGAGCTTAGTTCAGAATCCGTGTCCCATATTTACTAGATCCTGACCTTGAACCAATCACATTTGTAGTCCTGCTTTTTGTTCTATAATGTGGATCTATTGTCTGACAATATGACTAAAACTTTCTGTATGCAGTGTGCTCAGCATAATGCCTGGCTCAGAGCAATTCTTGTTTCAGAAATGTTTCTCATCATGCCTATAATGGCACTAGAGTCTGTATCTCCCACCAGACTGAGACTTCTTGTGTTGATCACCAGGTCAAGAATAGAGCAGTAGGCTAAGGGTGTAGCTCAGTGCAAGAACCCTTGCCTAGCATGTGCAAGGGCCTGGGTTGGATCTCCAGAATCTCAAAAACATAAAATAAAAATAAATCAGGGTTCACTGATAACTGATACAGATAACAAGTCAGAAATTCAGCACAAGTAGTATTTCCTCATATTTGTAGCTGGACTGCAATGAATTGAGACCATCCGAGCAATAGAGGGCAGTAGAGAGCTGGTGAAAAGATAGGAGAGAGGCTGGACCACATATGAAGTCATCTAGAAAGAAATGTAGTATCATTAAAAGGGCAAGCAGCCTCTTTTTTTCTAGTTCTATTCTTATCTCCGTAGTCTGCTCTTTGCTGCTGGGCGTCGAACCCAGGGATTCACAAATGCTAGGCGAGTATTCCAACATTGAATTACACCCTCAGTCCCCTCCGTTCTTATAAATGTTTGCATTTACTTTTTATACTTATTTTTATGCTTATTGTAAATTAATCTCAGGTTATTCCCCTAATAGCCCATTTGTATTAGCAGCTTGCAGACTGTTTCAACTGCAGAGAAACTGAGATTAGAGAAATTATGTGATTACCCCTGGGAAATCGCACAATGAGAAGGCAGGGAGAAGCCATGCCTTTTGTAATCCTAAAGCTGACAATAACAATCCCTGTTTCTGAAGGAAAGAATTTGAGAGCATTCTAGAACTCACTCCTAACTCCACACTTAAACTAATATTTCTTGATTATTAACTGTGAGTTTAGTACTCTGGATATATTATTTCATTTATTCTTCATTCACTCATCAAATATTCCCTGGGTGCTTAAAAATAACTAGGGCTTTAGAGATGCAATATTGAACAACAGAAGATTTCAACAAGGACATGCAAGTCTTACAAGAGGAAAAGCACTGGTTAATAAACATATAATGTGTTCCTTGTGGCTGGGTGTGATGGCGTGTTCCTGAAATCCCAGCACTTGGGAGACTGAGGCAGGAAGATCGAGTTTCTACATAGCTAGTTTGAGGCCATCCTGGGCTACATAGCCTGGCTACCTTAGCTCTAAAAAACAAAAACAAGAAGAAAAAATAACTTGTTCCTCCTGGGGCTGGGATGAGTCTCAATGCTAGAGTACTTCCCGAGCATATGCAAAACCCTGGGTACAATCTCTAGAAAAAACCACAACTACAAAAAGATGTTTTTCCTAATAATGAAAGAAAAGCCAATCAAAAATAGTGCGGTGTTTTCATCTATTAGGTAAACATAGATTTTGGCATCCTATGTTTATGAGCATGCTGGGAAACTGGCATTGCCAGACTATTGGTAGGAATATAGATTTTTTTTTTTGAGGCAGGGACTCATTACGTAGTTGAGTCTGACCTGGAACTCACTATGTAACCCAGGCTGGTCTCGAACTCACAGTGATCCTCCTGCCTCAGCCTCCTGAGTTCTGGGATTACAGGTGTGCGCCACCACGCCCAGCTGGTAGGAATATAGATTAATGCCTCCTCTTTGGAGAGCAATTAGCTACTATTTATTAAAATTTAAAATGTGCTCACATTTTTTTACCTATAAATTCAACTTCCAAGAATGTAAACTATGAAATTCTTGCATAAATAAGTTGCTACAGATTTTTGTTATTGTTGCTATTCTTAGAAACAACTGTTTAATAATAGTAGATTTGAGTGTAATATAAACATTAAACGAATGAAATAGGTCTACTCATACCAATGTTGAAAAATGTTTAAGAGCTAGGTGTGGTTGCTTACCCTGTGATCCTAGTATGCAGAAGGCTGAGGCAGGAAGATCACTATGGGTTTGAAGCCAGCCTGTGCTATATAAAATTCCAGGCCAGTCTAAATAAAACAGAGACTGTCTGAAAAAGACAGTCCAGGGATTTAGCTCAGTGGTGCCACCACCTGCCTCACAAGTGCAAGGTCCCAAATTCCATCCCTGGTATCAATACAATAAAAGAAAAAGAAAGAAAAAAAAAAAGATGTTTAAGTGATTACTAAGTGAAAAAATATGTATTAGTATAAGTTCAATTTTCCTTAAAAATTTTAACTTTTAGCCATGTACACTGTGTCCCTCTAATTTCAACTATTCCGGAAGCTGACGTGGGAGGATTGCTTGAGCCCAGAAGTTCCAGGGCAGCCTGGGAAACAACAAGATTTTGTCTCAAAAAATTTAAATGTAATTTAATTTTAAAATACTATTTTTTAAAAAGCTGGGCATGGTGGCACACATCTGTAATCCCAGCTCTCCGGGAGGCCAAGGCAGAAGGACAGCAAGTTTGAGACCAGCTTGGGCTACATAATGAATTCAAGACCAGACTGAACTGCATAACAGATCCTGTCTCAAAAACAACCCAAACCAGAAAAACCTTAGGAAAAATATACTTAAGTGTTAATGTTTGTTTACTATAGGCTAGGAAGGAGTGAGAGCATGATGTAAAAGGAATTTGCACTGTTTTGTTTTGTACCAGGGATTGAACTCATTACCTTGCACTTGTGAGGCAGGTGAGGTGCCACTGGGCTAAATCCCCAGCCCTCCTATTATTTTATTTTATTTTATTTTTGGTACTGGGGATCAAACTCTGGTCCTTGCACTTGCAAGGCAGGCTGCAGCACCACTGAGCTAAATCCCCGGCCCTCATATTTATTTTTATAAGAATCACATGCTCCCCTAAGCAGGCAAAATAAAAGTACTTTTTAAAAGCATATGGCCCTTCCTTAGATGTGTTCTCTCTTATGGGCCATTTCCCGACAGGTATTACTATCCCTATTTTTTTCTTTTCAGTACTAGGAATTGAACCCAGGGCTTTTGAGCTACATCCCCGGTCCCCCCTCCCTTTTAAATTTGAGAGGAGGTCTCGCTAAGTCGCTAAATTACCCAAGCTTGGTTTGAACTTGAAATCTCCCTTAGCCTCAGGGCTAGGATCATGAGCATGAGCCCCCACGCCTGGTTTAACAATCATCTTTAAATGGAGGTTCAGAGAATAAGGGTGATTTCCTCAAGGTCACCAAGTCCGCTAAGCCTCCCCGAAAGTGTTACACCTCTGCCCCCTGCAGAGAACTAAGGCCAATTGCGTTTGCTTGATGTCATGCTGAAGGCTTGGGATTGGTGCTCACGTCTAAATAGAGCCCGCCTTCTTCAACAGAGGGTGTAACTAAAGGTGGAAGTGAGAGGCTGGGCACATCGCGCCCGGAGCTTGACCAGGTCCTAGTTCTCTTGCGATCCCTTGGGGTCCGTGGGGTAAGAATCGGGTGGGATGGCGTGGAGGCAATCTGCCCTTCCTCCTCTGACCAGTCCGTCCCTCAAAGCAGTGCTTACAGAGCCCACAGGTTTACCTCATTGCTTCACATTCCCAAAGACCCAGAAAGGCTAGGACAGCTGCCAGCCCTGTTCAGACTGGTGCCCTAACAGCGGTGGCTGCTCATCACGACATCCACGCCCACAGGTCCTGCCTGGCCTCCAGCCAGTACAGAATGTTCAGAACAGGATCCGGTACAATCTTTCCTTCTCTGCCCACCTCTGAATCTCCCAGGCTGGAAAGGGCCCTGCCTTAGGGGGAAGAGGACTGAGACGAGCAGGGGCTCCCCTCAGCCCTCGCCCCGGGCACGCAGTGAGTTAGTCACAGACCTCTGAACGCTTCCCTCAGGGTAGCAAGCTATGTGGTGAAGTTTCCAACTTTATTTTGACATCCTCCTGACAGATACCCTCCCTCCTCGCTTCTCTTCCCTGTGTCTGAGGCAGCAAGT